TGTGGTCTTTCACTTGCATTTTTCTGACAGTACGTAATGATGAACATTTTTTTATGTGCCTCTTGACCAAAATATATGTCTTCATTAGAGAAGTGCTGTTTAGCTATTCTGCCCATTTTTTGATTAGGTTTTTTGTTTGCTGGCTGTTGAGTGGTGTGAGCATGGACCTTTAATCAGTTTCTTGTCAAATGTATGGTTTGCAAATATTTTCTCCCATTTAGTAGGGTGTCTTTTGTCTTAGTAACATTTTCTTTAATTATGCAGATGATTTTTAGCTTGATATAGTCCCATTTTTTAAAATTCTTTTATTTTCCTTGCTGCTGAAGATGAATAAACAAAGACATCTCTGAAGCCTGTGTTGTGGAGTATTTTGCCTGTGGTTTCCTTTACACTCATCCATCCAAATCTTTTATGCATTTTGATTTGATTTTTGTGCATAATATAACTTAATGGTCTATCTTTACTCTTTTGCATATGGCTTCCCAGTTTTCTCCCCAACATTTGTTGAAGAATCCTTTCTCCATTGTGTACTCTTGGCTTGTTTGTCATAGATTAACAATCCATATAAATGTGGTTGTATTTCTGGACTCTCAATTCTATTCCATTAGTTTATGCTTCTAGTTCCAGTACTGTACTGTTTGATTACTATAATTTTGCACTATAGCTTGAAATCTGAGTGCATGATACCTCTATTCCTCTTCTTTCTTGTCGAAATTGCTTTGGCTATTTGAGGTCTTTGTGGTTTCATATGAATTTCAGTAATGCTTCCTGTATTTGAAGAATTCCATTGAAACATTGATAGGGATTGTATTGTAATCTATATATTGCTTTCAGTAAGATGGATACTTTTTTTTAAAGATTTATTTATGTATGCATACAGAACTGGGGTACAGGCCCAGAGGAGCAGGAGCGGTGAGAGGATTCACCAGAGACAGAGTGGAGAGAAGAACAGGCAGTGTTGAAGAATACACTGCTGAGGGGAGCAGTGGGCAGGTCAGGAGAGATCTGCCGTGCTATGTGGATCACCTTCAGTGTGGGAATCAAACTCATGCTGAAGTGGCTTTAGCTTCATAGTGCTGCGTTTTAGCCCGCTGAGCCACCAGAGAGGGCCTGTAAGATGGATATTTTAACCGTATTGATTCTCCCAAGCTGTAAACATAAAATATCTTTCTTCATGCATTCCATTTATTTTAATAGTATCTAATAGTCATCATTGAATAGGTCTTTCACCTCCTTTGTTAGATTTATTCCTAGGTACTTAGTAATTTTTGATACAACTGTAAATGGGATTGTTTTCTTGATTTCTTCATTAGTTACGTAAAGGAGTGTAATGCACTTATGTGCTGATTTTGTAGTCTTCCTGACTTGATTTGTTATTTCTAATAGTTTTTTAATGTACATATCGTGGTTTTGTACATGATTGTTTTCCTTCTTCTTTTCCAAATTGGGTATCTTTTATGTCTTTCTCTTGTCTAATTGCTCTAGCTAGAATGTCAAATATGATACATTGTATAATAGTGGTGAGAATAGACATCTTTGTCTTGTTCTTCACCTTAGCAGAAAAGTTTTCAATTTTTTACCACTGATACCTTGATAGCTGAGGGTCTGGCATATGTGGCCTTTATTATGGTGAGGAATGTTCCTTCTGTCCCTGTTTTGCTAAGAGCTTTTCTTTTCTTTTTTTAATCATGGATGGATAACTGAATTTTGTCAAATGTCTACTGTATATCTGTTGCTATCCCATGATTTTTATATGTTGTTGATATGGCCAATTAATTCATTTGCATATATTTAACTATCTTTACATCCTGGAATAGATCTTCCTTTGTCACAATGTATAATTCTTTTAACATATTGTTGTATTTGGTTTGCTAAGACTTTGTTGAGAATTTTTGCTTTTGTGGTGATACTGATTTGTAGGTTTTTGTTTGTAATGCTTTGCTTTTGTTATCAAAGTACTGTTGATTGGAACCATTCCTTCTGGTTTATTTATTTATTTTTGAACAGTTTGAAAAGTGTAGGTATTAGTTTCTCTTTGGAGGTTTGGCAGAACTCACTACTAAAACCATCTGGTCCTAGACTTTTTCTTTCTTTTGCATACTTAATTACTGCTTCAATTACCTTGAAAAGTAGATGATTTTGATACATTCAGGAAAATTTGAAAAATCATAATATGAACTGTTTATGTTGCAGTTTGCAGTCCATATCTTAAGGCTGAGAAATTTTAATATTTTTATGCTTGGGTTCAGGTAATTGTTTGACTTTTAAATATCTGGTTTGGGCCCTCCCTGGTGGCGCAGCGGGTTAAAGCACTGCACTGAGAAGCTAACGCCACTTCCGCATGAGTTCAAATCCCGCCTGCCCCGGAGGAGACCACATGGCGTGGCAGACCTCTCCTGACCCGCCCGCTGCTCCCCTCAGCAGTGTACTTCGTTGATCTGCCTGTTCTGCTCCCCACTCTGTCTCTGGTGAAGCCTCTCACCGCCCCTGAGCCTCTGGCCTGTACCCCAGTTCTGTATGTACAAATAAATAAATCTTTAAAAAAAAAAAAAAATCTGGTTTGGGTTCAGGTAATTGTTGACTTTTAAATATCTGGTACACCTTTCCACTCTTCTTATCACCGCCAAAATATGAGTAGTGGACCATTTGTGAAAATAAAGTTTTACTGGAACACTGACACACCCATTAATTTAAGTCATGTAATATGCTTACAGTTCTCTCTCTGATATTCTAAAATTTGTATCTCAAGAAATATTTTTGCCTTTACCTTTTCCACTTTTGCTCTTTGAGTTCCCCTAGCAACCTCACTTTGTTGTTTAACCCACTGCAGTTCAGTCTTCTTTGTCTTCTAAAATCACCATCCCTTTTAAGTAGTATAAGAAGAGGACATAGCTTCCCAACTCATCCTTAAACACATTTGTACAGACATCTGCATATCCTTAATGCAGAGAAGCAAGGTGCTAAATATATTGACAAAAAAAAAAAAAATCAGAATTTGATGTTACTTTGTTTCCCTTCTACTAAAACCTCTTGGTTTAATGTTTGTTTGTTTTGTGTCATTGTACTTTGTGAGGAAGTTTGTGATATGGATCCAGGTGGGTTAATGAAGCAAAATGGAAGAGGAATAGATTTTCCCTGACTTGCTCACTGGATAAGCAGAGCAGCCACTCACCAGAAGTCTGAGTAGTTAAGCTGTACTTGAAGAGGAACACGGATAATAATACCACTTTCCTGCATTCCTGCAGTCTAAATGCCCTGTGGAATGAAAGAAGACTTCAATCCCTAGGCTTGTGATTCCCTTATCTTTCCCAAACATTAAATTAATTTTTAAGGCTATTTATTCAAAGTTGACTTAACCACTAGAATAGAAAAGATCAGACAAATCAGCTGCAAGAAATGAAGTATGAGGAAACCCGAACTCTTTGACAAAGTATTCCTGAGAGTAAATGTGTTGAATGAAGCCAGCGGGTAAATGATAAGGGCCTTTACACTGTGGATGTAAGAAAGCAATTTATCAAGAGTACATGAACTCTCTGGTGACCACAAGTCCAGAGGAAATGAGAGTGGAGGAAGAGCCCTGAAAAAAATACATTTGAAATACTTAAAAAAAAAAAAAAGTACGTGGGTGTGCACCTTTAAATACCTACATTAATATGCAGATACTGGTTTATTGAACCAAGAGTTGATCAGAGCACAAATGTACAGAAGAAGGTGCTGGGAAGAGTTGTGGAAAGGTCTAGAACTTTCTGAAACCTTGGGTCCTGTCAGGTTTAGTTAAGATTATAGCTTGAATGCTATTGTCCAAAGGCATTTGCCGGACTGGAGAGTAGATAACCATCTTTCAGACTTACATGTTTATCTGTTTTAATCTATGGAAGGTCAAATGTGTATAATTCTGAAAGTTGATCTAATGCTTTTGTGTTCTCATAAGGAGTTCAAAGCACTTATCCTTCATTATCTCAATCTTTGCAGTATCTCCTTGAGCCCCATAGATAAGACAATCTTAATTATTCACTTTAGAGGAACTGAGGGAAAATGTGATTGCATTATTTGCAGTAAGATTCCCAGTAACTTGGATCAAGATGGAAAGTAGAATTAATAATTTTATCTTGGTTTTTCAGATCTAGGCCACAGGTGTTAACTTCTTGAGAAGTAAAAGGCCTGATTGTTGAACTATTAGTTTCATTTAAAGTATTTACTCTGAAAATAGTTATCCTCAGTGTTAGATACTGAAATAACAGCTGAAAAACTTATAAAACTTTGTTTTTAGCCATTCCTCTTTATTTCCATTTATTTACTAAACCTTGTCATAACTGTTAATTATAGTGACTAAATATGACTTGAATTTCTTTTTGTTTGTCATGAATATCTTTTAGGGAACATGTTGAGAACAACAAAATGAAAATTGGAAGAATGAATTCTTGGGATAATCTCCCTTGCCACACAAATGTTAGCTTTCCTTATATACTCTAAATTTAATCTCTTACCTATGTAGTATAAAGGACATGTTCCTCTTCTTAAACTACCCAAATATTATAAAGAATGAATCTTATTTTTAAAATGATATTGGATGAGTCTGTTTTTAGGGCATGAGTTGGGAATTGTTAGTTTTGTCTTAGGTGTTGGAGGGGAACATCATTGTACTTAGGTTGAGCCATAGTTCAATTAGCAAATTAATTAGTCTGGTTTTTAGAGCCAGCCACATTCATTTAGAAACCTCCTCCGTGGCTCTCCTTCTGAAAGTTGAATGTGTTTTGGATTTGCTGTAGTCTGCAATTTATAAACACTTGGAATTTAAAAAAACACACACACAAAGCAGAGAGGAGGTGGGAAGAGGACTATTTACATTTCAGAGTCTTGCTTAAATACCTGTGGTTTTTTTCATCCATCCTTAGAAATGAAGTCTTGATAATTCCCATTAACTTGTTTTATTTTCTCTGTCTTTTCCCTTTATGTTTGTATTGCTTCCTACTCTTGGAACTCTGGGGGAACCACCACAGCCTTGGATAAGCTCAGCACACAGCACCTGTACCACCCCACCCAAGTGGAGATTGTGCAGTCCAACGTGGTATTTGACATCAGCAGCTTGATGCTCTATGGGACACAGGCAGTGCCTGTGCGGCTAAAGATCCTGCTAGACCGACTCTTCAGTGTCCTGAAGCAAGAGGAGGTGCTGCACATCCTGCATGGTCTGGGCTGGACTCTGCGCGACTATGTCCGGGGGTACATCCTTCAGGTAGGGGAAGGGCCTGGAAGCTGGTGTCTTGGCCCAGCTCTTGGAGGGATTGGGGAGAGGACAACCTTGGCAAACTTGTCTCCCTTTTGACCCCTGGAATGCCATGTAAGAAAGAAATTTTTCAAGAATACACGAAATCTCTGGTGATCATAAATCAGGAAAAAGTCAGTAAATGAGGAACCCTCCAGAAATACATTTAGAATACTAAAGAAAATGGCATGTGGGTGCATGCACTTTTACATTCCTGCATTGATAGGCAGATAATGGTATATTAAAACAGGAGTTGTTCAGAGTGCACATGTGTAGTGGCCAAAGTGTGTGTTAGGGAGAGTGGTGGAGAAGAGCCTGGTAGTGGTTTCTCCTCTGGTTAAAATGGTTCTTTTCAGCAGGCTTATTACGAAAGGAGCTGTGACCCAGCAGGCTGACATCAGACTAGTGATGCAGCATATGGAAGTGACCTGTTACCTAGTGTTGCTATGCTTGCATCTTTTTGAACTCAACACTCCCTACAATGAGGACTTACTGGAGCCTTACTAAAAAGGAGGGCTCTTTGAGGCAAATGATGGGTTTGTGAAAATCAAACCTGAGATTGGTGTTCACCTGAGTTTAATAGGAGTTTTTTCAAACTTAATATGTAGGTTTGATGTTTTCTTGGTTGTCTGGGCACTTTATTGCTCTTCTTCCAAATTAAAGGAAGACCTGTAACCTCTGTTAACTCCTTGCTTATATAAACAGTAAACTTTTACTTTCTAAAACATGCAGATATTATAGATTTGACCTCCACAGCACCTGGTCTTCCAGCCTTGTGCCCCTTCCTGGTGTCAGTGGCTCTTCTGATCCGGTAAGGGTTACTTAAGACGTATGGGAGGCCCACTACTTCAACCTCCTTGCTTTTTTTTTTTTTTTGTCATTTTTGGCACTGTGTCATGACTCATTTTGCACTATGTACTTTGCCTCTGAAATGTTTTTATAGCCATCTGCCTTCTTATGACCCTTGAAGGGTAAATGTTGAAAACAGCATCTTGGGAGACCCCAGGATCCAAAAAGACTACACTGGACATGAAGTACTCTTTCTTGCTAAAAGAGATCACAGTTTGAGAAGGTAGAATCTGAAGTGATTTTTGAAGTTTCCTATGGGGATAATACCAGGAGAAATGATCACCCTTCAAGAATATTATTTTTGCTTTGCCAGCTTTGTTTATTCCCCATGCTACCCTGTGTTGTGTACAAAGCATTGGCTGCCAGTTTGGTATGTGATTTGGAGGCTTGGGGAGACAAAGACTCCACCTGACTTTAACCTGACATTAAAGCACACACATTGCTGTCATTCTCCTGTGTACCTCTAGGTGTTAACCAGGGAATGAGAGTTTGTTAGGAATATTAAGAGATGTGGGGTTGGGGGAGGCAGATAGCCTAACTGTTGTCATGATGGCTTTAGTTAGCACAGAATCATTTCTTAGTGAGATGGCAACTTGGAAGGTACAGAAAATTTGGCCCTAAGAAGATGAGATGATGATGATAATAGTATTCATTATATATGACGTTTTTAGTTTATAGAAGATGTTCACAAGCATTATCTCATTTGCCTCAGGATGGGGACATTGCACTGGGGTGAGTGGAAAGTCAAGTCCTGGGTGGTCAAGGGACTTGAGGAGGAACAAGACCCTGGAGGTAGGGACCAGGACAAATAAAGCATGGAACCAGTTTCACAATCCTTACTTACACTGGCCTTGAGACACATACAGTATATCTTTATGCAGGAGCTTCTACAGTTTGCTTATTAATATATATTGTGAATGGATTTTACGCTACGCAAAGCAACAAACCTCTAGCAGACTTATTAATGGAACTGTTAATTTTAGCTAGACGTTATTTCCTTTATTGCAAACGTAAGGTATGCTGCCATTCTTACTGCCTGTGCTATGACATTAGCCTCTGTCATCAGTGTTGCACTTCAATCCCACATGTATATTTTTGCCTAGGATATTTGGAGCATATGCAAGGTCTCTTTCTGTCCAGACAAGTGGATATGTGCATGTGACTATCTTAACATCCCAGCCAGATAGGATAACACTGCAGTGTAGTGGAGGTAGTAGGTACAGAGCCTGCTGGAAATCATGTGGCCTGTTCCTTCCTGTCTTGACCATTACCTCTTCTTTATTTTACTTAAAATTGTTATTTAACTATTGATCCCCCCCCCCAATATGTCAACATATTCCTAAGAGGTGTAAAATGTACTCAGATATATCTTTTTGTACGAAGGTCCAGGTTTAAAGTTACAAAATTGCAAGAGAAAAATTGCATCTGAGAGAAAAATTTAAAAAAAACCAAAACTAAAATTTATGGAGTCTTATTTTGGGGTGAAATATTGTCATTTATTGTGATACTTCAGTTACAATGAATGCTTATTCAGTATACATTTTGACAGGCTTAACTTTAATCTGCTTTTCCAGATTCTAGAATTGACATTTCAAGAAAAGAAAATCGTATATGCTTTTTCCATTAGAGGAATACTGGGTTTAATTTTTCTTCTTTATTGATAGCATTGGCATAATATGGATTTTATTTAAATGATGTGTTTTGTCATTCAGCATTTATCATCGTCTTGAAAACAGTGCTTGACTTAGAACAAAAGCAAAAGGTTGAAAGACACAAAACTGTTAATACTTATATAGTAAGAAAATGTTTGTTTTGTTTTTAAAGGAAAAAGCCAAATAAGACTTAAACTGCAAATATGACTTTTCCTCTAAAGCATTGTTATTTGAGTATTGGCCAATATTTTAAAATTATATGCAGTAATGATAAGGTGTGCACAAATGACTGGATATAATTATATGTAACATTTCCACTCAAGTAGACTATAAAATGTGAGTCAAAGGTTGTAGGACCCTATAATACACTACCTGTGTACGAGTCATTTTATCTGGCTAAAACTCAATTGTCTTGTAGCCCTCAAGGCATCAATTTTAGCATTATTGCTCTCAACAACAGTATATTGAATATTATGTCAGTTAAAGGAGAATAATTATCAAGTCAACTTAGGGTAGCTGTTAGTCTTACCACATATTGACTTGGTTAGCACTTGGCTATAGATTGTGTTACTGGGCAAATGAAGATGTACAGTAAGTTGAACTGGTGAAGCCGAGGTATTAATTTAACTCTCTCCGGACCCAAACATGTATCCCTTACATACACACAAGCTGCTTGTGTCATCAGAGATAGGTTTAAATGTGTAAGAGCAGCCAGTGTCTGATTTGAATTTTTTGGATGTGAGGGGGCAGGCCATTCAAAACTATCATTTCAAAGTATTATGATAATTAAAAGACAAAAGAAGATGACAGTGATGGCCCATTCAAAAGACTACCAGTTTCTTTCAAAGATTATTTACTGGCTTGCTATAAATTACTTTTTACTTAGGCGATTATCTATGTAATTTGTAAGCTGGGTATAATAGCATATTTAGGAATACAAGTAATATCTGAATGATAAACCCAGTATTTTCCTATAAACTATTAAATTACTCATTCAGAAAGTATGGAAAAGTGAGGTAAATTTTAAGCATTTCCCTACAAAACAACAAAGAGAAAAATGTGAAATTAAGTGCTACAATCTAAATCTAGAACATAAAGTGTATCTCTCTGCTGTTATAAGCAATTCTTATTTCAAGTCTATACGTCATGGCACGTTTATTGACAGTAAAATAAGAGTACTATCTTGTTCTTTCCTCATTCTCTCTATTTGATCTACGTACGCTACAAGAATATAAGTGATTATTATTATTCGATTTAATCATTTACAAATCAAGTTTTCACATAGTCTCTTACCAGTTTGAATATGTAACTGATTTGCCTGAGCCCTTACATCAGCCCATCTGTGGAAATCTTCTTTACAAATGTGTCCTGCCAAAATTCAGAGACACATATCAGGTACTCTGAATAATTAACTGAGGTGTCAGCAGCCTGGTGAGAGGACAGGTAGTGATGCGCATTTCAGATCACCCATGTCTGAAAACAGTCAAAGCTAATACAACAATCAACACCTTAGAAAGAACATCTTCCAGAGGATCCTTAGTCTTCCAGAACTCTGACTTTGGATTTAGAAAGCAACCTTATTTAGGATCTTTCTCTAGCAGCCTTGTGATATATATTAGCATAGTAAAGGTGCTGAGAAGTTCTGAATGGTTTATCAGCAAAGGCAGAAGCTTCTACCAACTTCATCAAACTTTCCCACTTCATACCTATGTCTTGTCAAACTCATTAAAAGATTTGTTTCTAAACATACTTAACTCCCCAAATTGGGACATTTGCATGTGAAAATACTTGATTTTTTTCAAGGAAAATTTCTTGTTATGAAGATAACACCAATGTCTCACTTCTTTACAGACACCTTTTCTGTCCACCGTAACCAATAGTGGTTAGATTTTTTTCTCATCTAGTGGTTAGATGTGGTTCTGTCTTGGGAATCTGTTTCCTTCGAGCTCCAGTCCTATTTAGAGTCAACCAGTTAAACAGTCAGTTGTTAAAATGTTTGTCCCTGGAGTTCTCTAGGACTAGGGAACACCACAAAAGCAGGGTACTCCGTAAATATTTGTTAAATGCTTGAGTGTAGAAATCCACTCAATTTGGTCTAGCTTGGGTTTTTCACCATGGACTCATGTCACACCCAGTAGCTTCTACTGGTCCAAGGAGTCTTAATCTTTCTTCATGTCACCAAGGGACTAATTGCTATAACCACAGCTGGACTATTAAGGGCAGTAAGAAGAGAAACAAAGGCTTCCACACACTCTAGCTTGTGGTCAAGTGTTTTGTGGTATCCCTGTGGTTTTAAAAAAAAAAAGTCAATATTAAACAAACTCTTGTTTTGAACAGCCCTTTGTGAAAAAAGTTCACATAACTCAGTTCTGAATCCTTATACCTTATTCTTGTAGAGGAGATGTTACCAGTGAGTTAGCATTTGGAACAGTTGAAGCTCAAGGAGGTGAAGTGACTATTCCAAGATCA